CTGGTGCTCCTGGGGGACCGGTGTGTCCTTTAGGTCCTTGAGCGCCATTTGAACCTGGAATACCTGGAGCACCACCATGGCCTTGTGAACCCTTTGGACCCTGAGCACCATTATGACCTGGGATTCCTGGAGGGCCTACTGCACCGGGGGAACCTGGTTTTCCTGTAAAACCCTGAGCTCCCTGTTCACCCTTGGTTCCTCTTGGGCCTGGTGCTCCGACCATTCCGGTGTCACCCTTGGGTCCTGTTGGGCCTCCTTCACCTTGGAATCCTCTTGCACCCTGTGGCCCAGCTGGACCCATTGGTCCAGGTGCTCCTGACTGGCCAGTAAAGCCTGTTGGACCTGGCTCTCCCTTCTGACCAGTTGTTCCGGGGGTACCAGGTGATCCTCTGCTGCCTGGAATTCCAGGTTCTCCTGTTTTGCCAACACCTGGCATGCCAGGGGAGCCGGGCTGCCCAGCTGGTCCCTGGGGACCTTTAGCTCCCATTGGTCCTGGCATACCTGGGGTACCATTTTGACCTGGCTTACCTGGTGCGCCTGTGCCTGGAGGGCCAGTGTGACCTTTTAGTCCTGGCATACCCATTGCACCGGGAGCACCATCTCTTCCTGGCATGCCAGACTTTCCAGGCTCTCCGGGATAGCCAGTGGCACCAGGTTTTCCAACTCCAGGTTTTCCAGGCATACCGCTGGGACCCATTGGTCCAACTGGACCTGAGGATCCTTGAACCCCAGGAACTCCAATACCTCTCTCTCCTTTAGCGCCAGGAAGACCAGGAACGCCAGGATGTCCTTTAAGACCAGGCTCTCCTCTTGGTCCCATTGCGCCAGGAATTCCAGATGGTCCGGGTTTTCCAACAGCAGAGTGTCCAGCAGGTCCAGGGGAACCAGGGGTACCAGGTGCACCTCTGGGTCCCATTGGTCCTGTTGCACCATTGACACCTCTTTCACCGGGAATACCAGGAGTACCTGGTTTTCCAGGACCACCTGGGGTACCAGGTTTACCTGCTTGAGAGTGACCAGGTGGTCCAGGGGGTCCGGC